AGATGACCTCCAGCCCCTCTGCTGGAGGCCAAAGTGGAGAATGATAAGAGGGACATTTGTCACCTTCTATACATGTGGGCCTGGGTTTGTAGAATGGATTTATAACACAATTTATTTGTACCTTTTAAAGTTCGATATTCTGAAATTTTTATTAAGTGAGGAGTTGTAAAAATGTGCACAGTCAACCATGCTGGAATGAATACTCCTTTCTGAAGATGAGGATAGCATGCAGGTAATAGGCTTTTTTTTTGTGCTGAAGTGAAACAAACACATATATATCATTCTGTGTATGTGAGACAAGGTGTGACTTGCGGTTTAACTTCAACTGAAAGAAAGCAAAGCACCTTCTAATAGTCTTTTATTATATTGAACATTTGATGATTTTCCAAGACCCTGAGACTTAGTTATATTTCCAAAATGATCAACTCCCTCTTATCAATCATTTCACAAGTTACAAGTCTGTAAGTTGCTCTGCCATACACAACTATATTACATGGTTTGACAGGAGACTTTCAATATAACCATCACTAAAGCACCATTCTTATGAGCTTAGTTATGAAAATGTCATGGGCTTGAAAAAATTTAACCACCATAAAGATTCTTTTTGAAAGTTTATTAGACTAATTTATCTAAAGTTAACCAAAATATTTCTTTAAACTTTACTTTAAATAGTAGAAATTTTTGAGGACAATAGGATTTGTTTTCCTTTTAAATCAAGAAGCAAATGAAAAGAAATGCTTAAAAACACAAGGACAGTTAAACAATGCCTATTAATATGAGTGAACAGTAGAAACCTGAATGTGGTTACTTAGGATAGCTCAATATAAAAATAAAGAATGCCAAGTATACTACTTATTTATCAAGAGAAAAAGAAAAAGACCTAGCTGGAAAGGAAATTCTTGAAGCTCTGCCCAATTATTTGGCATGGATCTTGGAAAGTTCTAAATCTGGGAAGTTTAGCGTAAGAATTTTTTCTTTGTTTTTATATAAAATCGTGTACATATAAGTAAGAACCAGTACATTTGTTGTTGTTGCTAATGACTAAAATTTTTATAGCTTGCATAACACAAATTAACCTATTACAAATATCTTTTAGTTGGTGAATGCTGTTTGGACATATGACACTATTTTTTTTACCCTATGAGGTTAAGATTTTGTTAATATTATTGGAATTTTGCAAATACTAAAAGTGCTAAAAAATACTATTGGAATATTGTGTACCATGAATGCAGCATTATAAGAAAGTAAAACATGTGGTTCAGGTTATTTAATTTGTGGACACACACTTTGAAAGATACAAAATAAATTGCCTAGTCTGAGAAGTCCTACCCCAATCTGAACATACACCGGTTCTAGGATCCCGTGTATGGTCACGTCAGTATGATTTTTGACCAAATTCTTTTCTTCTTCCACTCTCTGAAGCCTCTTCCCCAAACCATGAAGCCAAAGATTGCATGTAATCTTTGACTGGACTTCTTGAAGAGGAGTAGCTGCATGGTGGGGAGGAAAGACCTTCCTGGGCAAGAATGTTGAGTATTTCTGACTTTATCATCACTAATAGCTCTGTGACCTGAAGCAATTTGCCTGTCATTTCTAGGCTGTTTCCTTCATTCTGAAATGAAGTAATTGGGCCAGTTGGTCTTTAAAATATCTTTCAGGATGAAAGATCAAACAGACTAGATAATAATATTACTTTCCTAAATAAGTGATTGTGAGCAGAGGATGTGCTGATGTCTCACTCAGAGAAGCAAGCTGCGATTTGAGTCACTGAACTCTTGCTAGGCAAACTGGTCAGCAGCATGGGCATCATCTGGGACCTTGTTAGAGATGCAGGTTTCACCCCCGATCTACTGCATCAGACTCTACATTGTGACGTGACCTCCAGATGGTTCACATGAACATTAAGGACTGAGAAGCAGTTGGGCTAGATCAAATATGTGAGTGTTGACACCCACCCACCTGTGCTTTGTGTCAAAGACGAGAGGGACAGAAGGTGGCCCAAAGCCCCTGCAAGTTTCTCTGGAACATCTGCAGGTCTCCCCGCTTGAATCTTTTCTTGTTTCACGTGAGAAACTCAACAGAGTGGGCCTGCATCGTAGCTGGATAAGACCTCCTGACAATACCAAGTGCGGTTGGCCTTTATTTCTTAAAAACATACACCAGTTTATCGCTTGCCTCTGGGTCTTTACACTCACTTTCCCACTGCCAGAGACACTTTTCTTTGACTACCATTTTCATTTGGGTAATTCAGAGTTTTTTCAAGTCTCAGTTTAGATGTCACTTCATTTTTCCCAATCGCTCTCTTTTCTCACATGCCTACCTGGGATAGATTTCTGCTTTTGTAGTATGGGTTCCAACCTATCTCATCAACAGAGAAGTTGCAGCACACACACACAGGCATGTGCACGCACCCACAATCTATTTTTCAGTGAGGTTGTCAATCCACGTGGCTCATGTAGACCTTTCCTCAGAATTCTCAGAGGCTTTTCCATGTTGGAAGCAAGAGCAAGGAAGAGATTCTTCCACTTTGTCCATGGGACTAGGGCATACCCACTGCTTTGGGGCCAACAGGGCTCTGGGAAAAGGGAAATCTGCATTAAGTCTAAGATGTTAGCATTTGTAATATCCTTAAAAGTCAGAAACACACCTTTAAAAGTGCTTTCCAGCACTAGGGTCCCTTCTCGTTGCCCCGGCATTGGGTGATCACCCCCTGGAGGATAGTATCTGATGAACAACATATTGTGGCCAATATGATAACTGCAATTAGGTGACTCTCCATCCACTTTGACATTCTAATGGATGTAAACAAAAACATTATAGGTTTCTATAATCTTTTGACACCAAAACTTAACACAAACTATAAAATATAAAGTACAATTAAAGCATACTTTAATTGATCTATTGATGGCGATGCAGATATAATCTTTTTTACTTCACACAAACTTATAAATTAATATTTTAATGTATAAGAATGGGAAAGAATATGTAGATGAAGGGACAAGGAGGCATGGGAAGAGGGGTACAACCGGGCAAGTTGAGGACTAAGAAATAACAGATTGGACAGTAGTCATATGGAGAGAAATTCTGGGGAAAAAGCAGAGATGTTTAAAATGGATTTTTAAAGATGTTTTCCTGTGCATATAGTTCAATGTAACCATCCCCTGCACTTGCTCATAGAACCATAGTTTTAGCTCCTCACGTGGTGCTACTTTTAGAGTTGGACGTATGGTCTGCATTTTGCTTTTGTTTGGAGGTGGAAAGTGAGCCTCTTATAAGAAAATGTAACAATTTCTTATAAGTGGTCTTGGTGGTAAAAGGAGAGGGCAGAGCTACCCCAGGGTGGCCCACTTACATGTCTTCACAATAACAGGAAATATTTATTGGGCACTTACCATGTCCTAGACAGTGGGCTAAATATTTTATTGCATTTTCTCATTTAACTCGCCTAACAACCTTATGAGGTACATGTTACTGTCAAGGAGCTGTCAGTGTTTTACAGATGAAGAACCTGAAGCTAAACAGTCAATAATTTATCCAAGGTGACAGAGCCAAAGAATGCCAAGGCACAGGAATTCTCACCCGCCAGCCATTCCGTGTCCCTGTGACAGTGTACGGGGGACTCCCAACCAAGGAACACCAATTTACAAGCAATGCCATTTGGGTCCACCTCTGCAGCCAGCTGTGATTCTAATTTTACTCTTATCTAAGCTCTAATTAAAAAATCTTTTCCATGGCAATATGGAGTAACAATTAATTTTTGAAGGAGTTAAGCCCCAGCAGAGGCATGGCTCTGCTCATCTAACTTTGAACCCTACAAGACTAGCAGTAAGAGGCTTTACTATTAAAGGAACTTTAATGATATATGTGCTGATTCTCAGTCTACCACAAATCCTTTTCTGTTAATCTCAAGCTTTTCAAAATAACAAAGGAAAGGGCTTAAGGAAAGTAAAACAAACAGACTTGGAGGTGCTTTGGTTTTCTACCATTTGTGGGAACTGCGATAGTCTGTAAGAGACTAGAGAGGCCCCTCAGCATCACTAAAACAGTCTTCCTGATAGATAGATGGGAACCTTGCTTAGTGATGTATCTGTTTAACAGTCGAAGACCCTGGACACCTATCTCCATTCTAGAACAGGCTTATCAGCTGCTTCCAGGAGATTGTATATGTTATTCAGTTTTTTTAGAAAGCAGGCGTTTCACTGAATCCCCTTTACTGATATCTCTAGAATATTTTTTTAGTTATCTTGCTGAAATCTAGATATGTTATGCTTATTTCACATCTTTGGTAGTGCCAAGGAATGTTTAAATAATTTTTTTCTTCAAAGTGGAATTGAGTTATTTGTACACAAAGGAACTCAAATTGAGAGAGAGAGATCTGATTATATCACTAGGGAGGTGCAAGGAGGGGTGGAGGGAGGAGGTTGCCGGAGGCAATGGTAAACAGCCTACGACAGACTTGGCTGAGAAGCTGAAGGCCTCCAGTGTGCATGGAATTATTGGCCAGAAGATTTAAAATAAAGAAGGACAGAGACTGGCTCTCTGGTTCTCTTCCTCGAGGATGCCTGGATGATTGTGCTGCAGTTGCTTGTGTTTCTCAAAGGACGGTATTTTGGATAGATTTTGGATGGCAGAAGAAAAGTCCGGGCAGAGGCTAGGATCAGGCTGACCTGGCAGAGGGTGGCAGGGTTATTTATTCTTAAGGTGTTCTAGAAATGACAGGCTCTGAGGCAGAAGCCTGCCATTCTTTCAAAATTGTGTAGCTTTTTAATCTTATGTTGTTTTAGTTTGTAAATTAATCCTATAGAAATAAGATCATTAAAAAACTAAAAAGATAGGGGACTTTTGGAGTTAAAGATTTTAGTGCCTAATTGGTAGGTTTAAGTGATTAAAGCTGTAAGTGACAAATACCTGCAGAAAGTTGTTATTCCAAAGTTGTGTAGCTTTTGAATGAAGACTCCTTTCCTTTCTCATCAAATCTTTGCTTCTGGAATTTTGCCTAGAGGGTGTTGGCAGGCAGCAGGACCCCAGCTGCTGTTTGGTAGTTATGGCCTTTATCCTCAAGGTAATGAATAAACACTGAAGAGCAATTTTCTTTTTTGAAAAAAAATAAGCTTTTAATTTTTGAATAATTGTAGATTTGTGTTTGATAGAAATAATACAAAGATATCTTGTGGACCCTTCTTCCTGCTTCCCTCAATGATGACATCTTGCAAAACTACAATACAACATTACAATCCAGATGCTGATATATATACATCCAAGGTAAAGAACATTTCCATCATTACAAGAATTCCACATGTTGTTCTTCTATAGTCATACCTATTTCCTTCTCATCTCCACCCCCTCCTTAACCTCTGGCAACACTAATAGAGTCTCCATTTCTATAATTTTATCTTTTCAAGATGTGTTATGTTGTATAAGTGGAATTATATAATAAAGAACCTTTTGGAATCAGCTTTTTTTCTTTCTTTCATTTTTTTTTATTGAGCATAAATTCCTGGAGGTTATTCAGATTGGTGTGTATATTAATAGTTTGTTTATTTAATTGTTCAATAATATTCACTCATTGAAAGACATCTGGGTTCTTTCCACTTTGGAGCTATCAGGAATAAAGCTGCTATAAACATTCCTACACAAGTTTTTGTGTGCACATAAGTTTGCATTTCTCAGGAATAATTGCCCAGTAGTACAATTGTGGCTTTGTATGATATCCACATGTTTAGATTTATAGGAAATTACCAAACTGCTAACCACAGTAACTGTACCATCTTATATTCCCACCAGCAATGTATGAGGGATCTATTTTCCCTACATCCTTACCATCCTCATTTGGTGTTGTGTTAGTTTTCATTTTAGCCATTGTAGTAGGTGTCTCATTACATGTTTAGTTTGCCTTGTTTTCCATCTGTGTATTCTTCTTTAGTGAAATGCCTGTTTATGTCTTTTGTCCATTTTCAAATTGGTTGTTTGTTTTACTACTATAGATTTTGGAGAGTCCTTTTATATTCTAGCTGTTAAATAATATAAGTACTTTACATTATCTCCCAGTCTATAGCTTGTATTTTCATTCTCTTAACAGGATCCTCCACAGAACAAAATTTTTAATTTTGATGAAGTTTAATTTGTCAGGTTTCCTTTTATGGATAATGCCTTGGGTGTTAAGACTAAGAACTCTGTCAAACCCTAAGTTCTGAGAGTTTCTCTTATATTTTTGTCTAAAAGTTTTATAGTTGTATATTTATATTCAAGTCCATGATCCATTTTGAATTAGTTTTTGTATAAGGTATGAGACTTGGTGAAGATTCTTTTTCTTTTTTTTTGTCTGGCTGTCCAACTGCTCCAGCACTGTATTGACAAGGCTGTCTTTCCTCAAATGAATTACTTTTCTAACTTTGTCCAGAATCAGTTGGGCCTATTTGTGTGGGTTTATTTCTGGGTTGTCTATTCTGCTCCATTGATCAATGTGTCTATTCCTCTGACGATACCACACAGTCTTGATTACTGTGAATACAACGTGTTGGTTGATATATTGAATCTATTTATTCTTTTTACTGAAGTATTTTTTAAAAAGTGTTCAATATGAGCAGATTTAAACTCTAGCAAGATCACTCTGCCTACAGAGGAGACTATGGTTGGGGAAGAATGGGAATGAAAAGAGAAAGATCAACAGTTTAGAGACTATTAAAGAATTAGAAAGACATCAAAATGTCTTGAGTTCAAGCCACATTAGTAGGATGGAGAGGAAGCAAATAAATAGAGGAGATATTAAACAGTTTGAATTCAGATAATTTGTTCATTCATCAGCTATAGGAAATAAGGAACATAGAGGAATTTAAGATGCTTCTTGAGGTTTTTATTTGACATGATTTTGATTAAAGCAGATAATGCATAAAAATGAAAAGTTTTGAGAGAATCACAAAAATTTGGATCTGTGAATTTGAAATTGAAGTACTTATAGGACATTCTATATAGGCCATGATCAGATAGGTTGGGATCAGCCTGGGGAGGAGGTAAAGTTCTGAGAGTTGTCAGCAGTTCAAGCCATAGACCCAGAGGGCGTGGCCACTCAGTAGTGTGTATAGAGGAAGAAAAGAACCAGCCTGGGGTCCCAGCTGAGATTGCTAGTTAACATCAACTCTGAAGGATTAGAAGAGGAAGACCAACTTGCAGACATTGAGGATTGTCAAGAGAAAGAAAATCAAGAGGACAGCATTGTGAAAAGCTTAGAAAAACTACCTTTGTCAGACAGTGAAGAGTGATCAGATGGGGTAAGGATACAAAAGGAATAATTTGGCAAATGGCAAGGCAGGCGATGTAGCATAAAACAAGGCCAGACTGAAGACTATGAGTAAAAAAGGAAGAAAAAAATGAAAAAGAGAAAACATTCACTATTTCTCTGAAAAAAAAATGTGGCTGAAGAAAGAAGAGAGACAGGGTGGCACCTAAGGTGGGATAAAGAATTTAGTAATTTTCTTTTTTCTCTTCTTTTTCAGTGCCGGAGAGACTTGAGCTTGACTGTGGACTTTGAGGAGTACACTGAGAGCATCATGAGGAAAGTTAACCGATAGAATCACGTACCACAGAGAATAATATCAAGAGCACAGACTACTTCTTCTGTCACTGAAAACATATCAGTTAAGATTAGCCTTAGATACGTATAATAAAAAGTCAAAATAATTATAGCTTACATAGGGAGAAGATAATTTGACTCCCATGTGGTGAACAAGTATGAAGGTAGGTATACCTGGGGCACAAATTCCTTTTTATTTATGCTCTTTATATTTTTAATGTTATATTATGGTTCAAGATGTCTGCTGAAGGTCCAGCCATCTCAGCTGAGCTCTAGGCAAGAGGAAAGAAAACAGGAAGGGAACAGAATAAACTCCCAGCTGAGTCAACCTCCTTTAAGAGACTTTTGCTTATTTTTGGGGGGCACTTTTAGCTGCAAGGAGGGATGAGAAATGTACTCTCAAGCTTTGTGCTTCTATAAAAGTAAGTTTCTGTTAATAAGGAAGAAGAAACTGGACACTGGGTAGGCAAGTAGAAATTTTTTTCCCTTGGAGAGAAGTGCAAGGATTTGCAGATGGAGGTACATTTTCTGACATGAGTAAAGGAAATTTAATTGGTTAATGTCAAATAGATTTGGAATTTTTGTGAATTTCTGTGACTAGCACATTATCCATTAAAAGGCCAATCTGTAGAGATCCTGAGGAAAATGGTGCATGATTTGGAACAGTGCTATGAGAAAACAAACAGAAGGTAGCTGGCCAGACTGGCATGGAAAAAAAATTGCTGAGCAGTGCTAGGGGCTTAGCAGGAGTTGGAGATCATTGATTTATCCTGGCATAAAATGGAATAACAGCTGTGGAATTTTTCTGTTGCATTGTTCAGCAAATCAGATATAAGAGCATCTTTAAATTCATTGTGTGTTGGGAGGGGGCGATTGCAGGAACCAGAAAAATTGTAAAAAGAGGAAAATTATTGTTTTGGCTGAAATGGACGAAGAAGATCTTAAGGAGGTATGGGATATTTATTCAGATCTCAAAATGCAGGCAGGAATCTGTGGGAGGAGAAGGAACACCAACCAAAAGAATCACAGAGGAGACAGAATTTAATGTGGAAATGGATGAGAACAGTTGGGAGACTCAGTAAACCAATTTGACCAAGTAGAACAGCTAAAAGAAGGCAGTAATAGTAGGAGGATGCTGAAGGATACATCTGATAAACATCAGATAAAGTACAATTTCTTTAGCCCTAAATCCAAACCATATCTACTGGCAAAGAGGATCTGTTGAAGGTTATTGAGCAGGAGAGTGGTTTAAGATCTTTAAAGTGCTGGCAGTTTGCTATAAGGATGCTAGGCAGTAAAACTGGTTTAGGAGGCTAGCAAAGAAACTCCGAATTCAGGAAACAATAAGAGAGGAAAGAAGAGAGGCGATAAGCAGAACATCACTCCTTTTGTGCTCTCAGCACTTTTTACACTGTGGAACATTTTCTGTCAGTTGTGAATTCTTGCATGTGTTTATCTCATCCCAATTATTTCTTTCCTTGCCTCCCTTCCTCCTCTCCTCCCTCCCTCCTTTCTTTCCCCCAAAACAAATAGTTACTGAGTATTTATTACTTATGTAATGGAATTCATTCTTCCCTGAAAATTCTGAGAAGGAAATGTCAACATAAGAATGTCCAAACCTGTAGAGAATTTTTATGAATTTATATGAGCCAAACTGAAGACAAATGCCAGAAAGCAAGATCACAAAAGCTTTGAAGAACAGCAATTTGAAGTTTTTCATGCATTTGGAATTTAGGGATTACATGCAGGGAGGAGACAGCAAGGTGGGGGGGTTGGATTGTCAATCGATGGTTGTTGGCACTAATTCAGTGCCAATAGGAATCCCCAATTTAGGGTTCAGTGAAGAAGGAGACTTAATTCAGTGCACAACAGCTCAACTGTGATACAGCATGGCTGTGAGACCAGCACGATTGTGGAACAACTGGCGCCAGGCCCCTCTCTTCTAGACAGCTGTTCTGCTCCATACCGATCTGCTTTGCTTTGTGTGGGTCTGCCAAACTCTGCTCTGGGAAGACACTTTGGTGTTTCAGCTCTAGTCAAGGAAACAGCTCTCAGACTTCAGTGGGAAGTGTGCTCCCCAAGACAGAGGGAAGTTGGCTTTGGCGGACCAGAGTCTCCACCCCTTAGATCCCTGACTGAGCCATCTTCTTGCAAATGAGGGCTCCGAACCTTCCCAGTTTGGTTGGTTCCAAAGGCACCGTCTTGGTTGGTCAGAATAGAGCTGCTCTGATTGGCCAGAGCTGTGCAGCTCTGATTGGATGGGGAAATCCTCAGTCCTAATAGTTGAAATAGGATTCCAGAAACGCCTTTGTAAGGGCTGGCTCCGGCAGCAGAAACACAGTGCAGGCAGGCAGTTCAATGCCAGATTCTCTGTAAAGTGCAGTTTGCGTGAGAGGTCCCTGTGCAAAATACCTGCCAGGCTCTGGTTTTTTAAATCTGAGCCCAGTTAGCTGCTAGGAGCCCTTCTTAGTAGGTATCTGTTCCTCTCAGGTTTCACACAGGATGGTTGACATATGTGCACGCTTGAGGACAATTATGCCTCTGAGGGATCTGAAAAAGAGGATTACTCTGGCATTTCAAAAACGTGTTTACTTAGATGCACAACAACAATGGACTGTGCTTGTTTAGAACACAGATAAACCTTTTATCAAAAGAGTTATATGCTTGGGTGTGACTGCCATGACCTGCCCAGTCAAGGAATTTATGATCGAATCACTCTGAGTCACTTTTTATCAGGGAACTTGTCAGTTTTGCTACAGAACTCTTTTTTCATTCATAGAAATTTTATTCTCCTGGGAAAGTCACGGAAGTAAGAAAACTAAGTGGAATGCAATAGGCAAACAAGTGGGAGTGTGTGCCAGACTTTAGGGGTGCACCGAGTAGAGGTCCTCTAACCTCTTACGGCAGAGAAGGTACCACTCAAACCCGGCTTAAGAAAGTCACAAGGAGGTCACTAGGAAAGCACAAGGCAGTTGCCCAGGAAGCAGGTGGAGAACAAAGGAAAGGTGCAGAGGAAGGAGGGCCTCGGGTCTCAGGAGCAGCTGGTTACTCGGTGAACCTGCATCACAGGGCACTGGTGCAGGAGAGAAGGGCTGTGGGGTTAGAGAAGTTACCAGGACTTTGGCCAGCTAAAGAGTTTAGGTTTTATTCCAAACCCATTGAAGGTCCCTGAAGAATTTTTTTTACATGGCAGATTGACATTAGGTTTTTGTTTGAGAGTCCTCGAAATCGAGGAGTTACCATCTGAGGCTCTGGAGTCAGATAGAGACTAGGGTGTTACTTATGGTTCAGCCACCTGGTGGCTGTGTGACCTTGGACATGTTACTTAACGTCCATCAACCCCAGTCTCTTCTTCTCTAAGATTAAAGAAAATGTAACTTTTCTTGAAGGAGTTGTTTCTATTTTCTGAGGACTAAGTGATATATCATTTATAACATTCTTAGCACAGTGTCTGGCAAATAGACAGCCCTCCAATACTGATGGCTACTCTTACCAGTACACACCTATGACTTCTGGCAATGTTACTATTATAAAAACGGAGTGGTATGCAAGTGAGTCAGAAATATGTGGATACACTGGAGGAAGGGAGACTAGTTAGGAGGCCTGTGGGATAACCTAAGGAGTAATATTCTGTTTTTGTTTTTTTTTTGCTCAGTACCCAGCTGTCATCCAGAAGGAATTAAAAAAAAACAACAACGCTGTGAAGTAAATGAAAAGAAAGACTGAGCAACACTTAGTGATTGATTAGCTCAGAGAAATGAGGGAGAGAGTGAAACAGGACTGCAAAGCTTCAAGCTTGGGTGACTGCAGAATTCTGGTGCTATGGACACAAGGAAACCCTGTCTCCTCCTGCCCCTGACCGAGCTTTCTCAGCCCATTGCTTGCCTGACGTCGTCGGTCAGTCCACTGCTTTTTCAATGTCATTCACAGCTCAGGACGGAGCTGTGCAGACCTGCCCCTTCGTCTTTCTCTGGAATGACTTGGCGTAACCATAATGGAGGCATATATGAATTTAGAACCTTCAAATGTTTGAAGTCTCATACTCCAGTTACAGATTGGTTTTGAGTACTTCTCTTCCAAATATTTCATTTTCAGATCATGTAGGTATCTCTGGAAAAACTTTAGCATCCATGCCTCTGTTCAGGAGCATTAACAGAATCCCATTCTTTTACAATTAATATTGTGTTTGGAACAACATACTTTTCTGGTTTCTCAGTATTGTATAATTGCTATTTTGTGTTTTATATGTGGAATTCTATTTTAGACTCCATATGACAAACAAACACACAAACACACCTGGCTCAGCTTTTGCTTTGCTACTCCTGACAAATTGGTGCTTCTCTGACTCTCAAAAATGGTTGGAGATGCCTGGGGTCCTGACCTGAGATCTTGTTCTAATGAAATGCTCTGTCCACCATAAACGCCTGATTTTAGTACAAAGTAATGGCAGGTGGGACTGAGGCCATGGTTCTCTGGGTTTCTTTCTTTCTTTTTTTTTTCTTCTTCTGCTCAATTTTTCTGATTATTAAAAATGCCTTGCCGTTTGAAAAAAAAAAAACAAAAAACCCCAGGAGTTTAGAGATTGTACTGGGGGCTAGGTTAGCTAGGTTCAAGACTCCACCAAGAAAGAGATTATTTTTAAGAGCAATTTTTAAATAAATGTCTTACACAAAAACAAGTGACCCATCATAAACAAGTTTGCAGTGCTCTCTACTAGTGAAAATGGCAATGCACTGATCCATCCAAACTCGCTGCCCATATCCGTGGGATCCTGGACACACATGTGTGATGTGAGCCAGCCGTCCTGAACTAGGGCAGTAGAGGAAAACCCACTGCCTGTTGGGATTGTGTCCTGGTCTCAGCTTCATTAAGTCCTGAGCTCCTGCTACCAAAGCTAGTAGTAACTATATACACCTGGAGGTCAGCCTTTAGCAGAAAGAGCTTCCACAGCAGCACACACGGCACTTCTACTCTTTCCACTGGTCACCTCATTTGTGTGCATCTGTGTGTGTTTCACAAATAGTGCATGAGAGGTGGGAAATCAAATGTTTCTGTGGGAGAAAGCAATGTTTTGGGTTCTCAGCATTTTAGTCATCTGCTTTCATACATTTCCAGACTATAAATAGACTTTGAAGCTATTAAAACATGTTTATAGTGATTAAAAAAGTAGGAACTCAATGGTTCTTTCCCAATTACCCCTTTTCTAGTAACAAATACCTAAACATTTTAATTTGCCTTTTTATTTCCCCTAGTGGTGGCAAAACAATCCTACTCATCTTTGGGGGTGGGAGGGGGTTTGGGGAGAATCTCCCATTAATTTCTGTGCTGAGAACATAGCAAGACAAAAAGCTCCCTGGGCTAGTCTGTTGTCCAGGAGCAGAGATTTTTGTCGGCTGCTTTAAGAGTTTGGTTCCCTGATGAGGGCGCTGGTCTCTCTTGGGTGTTGGAGAAGTGAGAGGTAAAGAGGGCGGGAATCTCATTTAGATCACAGAGAAAAAGAAACCAGGAAGTAAGGAGAAATTATTAGAGTTTGTTCATAGCTCAGGATGTTAAAGGCAATAGTCCTGGCTTGTTTGTTACTCATTAGCAAAAAGGAAAGAGCCCTGGGGGTCAGGACTGGCCAAACTACGGAGACAACAGGGAGAGAGCTCCCGGCAAAGGCAAGACGTGCAGATCTTACCTGGAGTTAACATCTTTCTCTTGTTAACTTTTTCTTGGGACAAAAGGCAAGGTGACTCTTTTCTGTTCTCAGACATTTGTCTAAATAAAGCCCTCTTAATTTTATTTTTCTTGTGGGATTCCTAAGTAGACAAGAAGAAGAGGCGTCTTGCCACTGAGCAGCTGCCCAGCTCCCACTCGGCTTGGTCTGGGACAACAGCTACAGCCACAGAAAGCAAGCTGGTGAGTCTCTCCAAGCAGCCAGCTCTGCCTGACTGTTGGGAAACAGGGCTTTGCACACTCTCTGAAGCCTGGTGAACTGGTGCTGATTTCAAAGCTGCCCAGTGGAGGAAGAGAAAGTGAATCTGCAGAGACAAAGGGGAGAGGGAGAAGCCCCTCTCCCTTCCTCTCCGCCAGGCCAGCATGGGCAACGTCTGCCTGAGGCTCTGGGCGTACCTGAAATCTTATCTCCCCTGCTTTGTCCAGGAGGCAGACAAACAGGTGGTGAATGAGAACATAGGGGCCCCCTGCCCCCCTTCTGCTCCCAAACCACAGGGCCACTACTTTGTGGCCCTGTTTGATTACCAGGCTCGGACTGCAGAGGACCTGAGCTTCCGAGCAGGCGATAAGCTCCAAGTCCTGGACACTTCCCATGAGGGCTGGTGGTTCGCCCGGTACTTGGAGAAAAGGGGAGACCGCTTCGGCCAGCAGCTGCAGGGATATATTCCTTCTAACTATGTGGCTGAAGACAGGAGCCTGCAGGCCGAGCCGTGAGTATTACAAACCCACACTTTATTTCTTGACTCTCTGAGGGTGGGTAATGAGTTTTCCTTCTTATCTGCAACTCCCTATTTTCTAAAAAGCTGCCTAGAAGATACAAGGAAGTATTGGCAAGAACCTTCTATTTGAAACACACTTCCCTGTGCTAAGTGAGTGTGAACTGGGCAGGCTACTGTTGTTGATGTGACTTTTATTTCAGTATGTATACTCACAGACTCTGGGTGCATCTTCATCAGCATCAACAAATGGTGCATTTAATACTGTACCTTTTCTTTGGGTGTAAAATAAGTCATGCCTCCCTCACTTGAACTACAGAACTGAATTTCATTTGTAGGTATATCATGGATCTTCCTAAAACTACACTTTCAAATCTAAGGTCTCTCTCTCTCTCAACATTTAAAGCATCAACTCCATCCCTAACTTTAATCTTCCTCCCTTTTCATTCTGACAGGCACAGACAGGTCTAACTGACATACAAGTAACATTTAGAATATGCTCATTTTTCACTGCATTTTCATGACTAGACGTTTTTCTTTGAGGTCTGGGTATAAAGTTATACTACTCAAAGTATGACATCTTTTGTTTTTTATTATGGTTAAAAAGTTTCCAGCTACACATGTACAGGAAGTTTTTTTAAAAAATATTTTATTTATTTATTTTTAGAGAGAGGGGAAAGGAGGAGAAAGGGAGGGAGAGAAGCCTGGTGACCTTTCGGTTCACAGGCTTGTGCTCAGTCCACTGAGCCACACCAGCCAGGGCTATTCAATAAGTTTTAACCAGAAAATAATGACAAGATTTCCCCAGAAAAGGAAATAAAAACTTTACCCTGATATTTGAATAAATGCTATGCATTATAGTGGACCCAAAGAGGAAAATTGCATGTATAGGGTTTGGCACAAATAACACCCCCCCTTTTAAATTACAAAACCTTTATTATAAAAATCACAAACATGTAATCTGTAACATAACAATAGCACACACAAGCACACCATATGACATTTTAGGTGAAATGTTCAAATTGTTGTCCATCTTGTGTGAGACATTCATGTACCTTACCAACTGCACTCAAGCCTTATCTCTCCTGGACCCTGTGTTTTTTCAATTAGCCATCCATGAATCTGTCTGTCCATCCATCCATGCAAGTGCTAGGCATAGTGGTGGCATGGTGAGTGGGGGAAGGGGAAAGTTATGCTAGTGGTGGTTGAATATAAAGTAGACAATACATGATCTCAGCAATGGAAACTTGGGGTCTGGTGGGTTAAAAAGCAAGTGGGGTCTGTTATGGGCCCTAACCTTGTTTCTGCCTGGTTCTAGTGAAACCCAAGACTGGAATGTCTCTCAGGACTCATGTTATAGTGGATCTTCAGTAGAGGAACCACTGGAGATTCATTTGTTTTCTCATATTTTTCTTCTTCTTACATGGACTGTAGGAGCCCTACTGGCCCAGGGGAGAAAATGGTAAGGAAGAGCCATGGAACGTTGTGGCTGCTTTCCAAACTCAAATCCAACTATGAAAGGGTTAATGGTTATTTTTGAAATTCTTTGCAACACTAAGAGATTGTAAATGTTGGGAAGGATTGTATTTTAGGCCTAAATAGAGCTGAGTTAAAATAGAGACTTTTGGAGAGTAGGATTGATCAGTTCTCAAATGAGAAAAATCACCTTCATGAACGTTTATTTTCTTTGATAATCTATGGAAAATATTGTTTATTGAGTACTTCCTTATGTGCACTTATGGTTTCACTACTATGATTTCCAGGTAAGGTTTGGTATTATGTATATTTTATCCTTACTGTAACATGTATACCATAAGAATGAACACTATAAAATTAATACACATGCCTTGAATCCATAATCTGTGGCTTTTAAATATATTCAATTCATTTAACTGCCTAGAGCCTCCATTTCCTCATCTGTAAGGTCTCTGGATTATCTGATGTTTCATATGCAGTAATTCAGCTACATTCATACCTGACATACCTGAAGAAGCATGTACTGAAACAAGACAAGCAATTCAAAAATGATAATGTCCTGAGGCTCAAGCTCAGTGTCTTTACTTATTTAGATTCTTCTTGACAAACAGAGAAAAGCAACAAAAACATTGTGGCTATTTTTTGATTCTCGGGGGCTATGTGTAGCCAAGAATACTTTTCCCTTTACACAGGACTCCTGACCTTTCGTCTTGGAATTAGTTCTCAGCAGTGTTCCCACGTGTCATTACTGTCCTATATCTCTATAGTGGGGCTTCCCTTGGGACCTTCACATGCACTGGGACAAAAGCTTGATGCCCACACATTGCTGGTGCTGTGCCTCCTGGTCAGAACAGGCCACTTGTTTCTTCTAAGTGTTCTCCGTGGCCTTCACCTGTGCACCCAGGTTACTAATGAGGGCGCTCGCCATCAAATGGCTAAGCTGCTTCATGACTTTTAGCAGCTAGTTGTGGCCTCCACAGTTCACCTCCATTTCAAGTGGAAGTGCTTTTAACTTTATAGTCTTCTGAATGAGGGTGCCCAAATAGCCCACCGAGTGCCTAAGTACTTGGAAATTATACAAAAATGGCTTCCTTTAATATCTGTCTTTAGTGAGTTTTTCATTTTTTCTTCATTTTTTTCTAATGAATACTGTGAAAGTTAATGCAGGTTATTTTACAATGAATTCAATACGTAGCATTCAGTAATGATTATTACTTCTATTCACATGTGTGGGATGAGAGGCATGGGAAAAAATGACAGTTGTCATCTAATTCCTAACTAGACTAGTTCAATGCAGTGCATCAGTGTTCATATGTTTATGTCTTTATTCCTGACTTGCATTAATAAGAAAACAGTGCAAATACTTCTGGAGTTATTAGTGCCTGGGCCAACAGTTAAAGGTGTTAGTGTTTGGTGTGTTGATTTGTTTGTTTGTAATACCAGGAAATAGAGATGTCAAATAATGAAGTAGACTACAGTTAAAAGATAAACCTATTGAATAATTGATTATTATTCCACCCATAAATGCTTTTCCTCTCCTGAATATCTTTTACTAAGCCATGCAATAAACTTACTCTCCCACATTTCTTTCTCTAGGCTCTATTCCCTGGGACCAGAAAAGTTATTTTTTATTTATTTTCCAGTTTTATTGAGAAAAATAGAATACTTCTATATAAATATAAGGTATTCTGCAGGATGGTTTGATTTACATATATTGTGAAATGCATAGCAGGATAGATTCAGTTCATATCCAACTTCTCATATAGGTACAATATAAAGAAAATAAAGAAAAAAGAAAGGAAAACATTTTCCTTGTGATGAGAAGTCATAGTATTTACTCTCTTAATAACTCTCTTATTTACTCTCTTAACTTTCTTATATATCATACAGCAGTGTTAGCTTTCATCATTATGTGGTACATTACTTTCTTAGTACTTATTTATCTTATAACTGGAAGTTTGTACCTTGTCACCACATTCCTCTGTCTCTGGTTCTCTTTTGTCTTTTTGGTGATGGCTATTGTGGCAGGCATGAGGTGATACCTTGTTGTGGATTTACTTTGCCTGTCTCTAATGATTAGTAATGTTGAGTATCTTTTCATGAAACTGTTGGCTTCTCATATGTCTTCTTTGGAGTCAGGTCCTTTGCCCACTTTTTAATGGCATTATTATTAATGTTTTTCTTGTTGAGTTTTATGAGTTCTTTACGTAGTTTGGGTATTAACTGCTGACCAGATATATGGCTTTCAACTATTTTTTTATCATTCTGTGGGTTGTCTTTCACTTTGTTGAAGGTTTTTCTTGCTGTGCAAAATTGTTTCAGTTTGATGTAGTTTCATTTGTTTATTTTTAGTTTTGTTGCTTGTGCTTTAGGTGTCATGTCCAAAAAGTCATCACCAAGATCCATCTCAAGAAGTTTTATTCTTACACTTTATTCTAGGAGTTCCATGGTTTTAAGTCTTACATTTGAGTCTTTAATCCATTTGAGTGGTGTAAGATATGGGTCCGGTTTCATTTTTTCATTTACATATGAATATCCAATTATTCCAATGTCATTTATCAAAAAGACTGCCTTTTCTTCATTGAGTATTCTTGGCTTCTTATCATGTATTAGTTGACCATATAGTCTTGCGTTTATTTCTGGGCTCTTGCTTCCATTCTATTGGTCTATTTTTCTGTCTTTATGCAAGTACTATCCTTTACTGATGATTATAGCTTCATAGAATAGCTTGAAATCAGGACATGTGATGCCTTTTGCTCTGTTCTTCATTCTCAGGATTTCTTTGGCTATTCAGGGTCTTTTTTGGTTACATATACATTTCAGGAGTGCTATTCTACTTTTGTAAAAAATGTCATTGGATACGGAATAACTTTCCACTTATTTATATGTCTTTTTTGATTTCTTTCATCAATGTCTTGTGGTTGCCAGAGTTGAGATCTTTCACCTTCTTAGTTAAATTTATTCTAGGTATTTTAATGTTTTTGATGCTATTGTAAATGGGATCTATTGAATATTTCTTTCGTTTTGAGAAAATACATTGTGATTGTGTACTGATTTTTGTATGTTAATTTTATATTTTGCCTGTTTATTGAATTGATTAGATCTAACAGGTTTTTTTGTTGAGTATTTATGATTTTCTCTAAATGAAATAATGTCATCTGCAAATAGATATAATTTTTATTTCTTTCTTTCTAATTCTGATACCTTTTATTTATTTATTTGTTTTTGTTGCCAGATTGCTTTAACTATACTTCTAGTACTATGTTGAATAAGAGTGGTGAGAGTGAGCATCTTTGCCTTGCTCTTGATCTTAGAAGAAAAGCTTTCAACCTTTCACCATTGAGAATAACGTTAGTAATGGGCTTATCATATATGGCTTTTATGCTTTTGAGACATGTTCCCTCTGTGTCTAATTTGTTGAGTTTTTATAATGAATGGATGCTGAATTTTGTCAAATGCTTTTCTGTATCTATTGCGATGGTCATATAATTCTTTGCTTTCATTCTGTTAATGTGATG